TACGAGTTCAGGTAGGAGTGTAGAAAAAAGCAATAAGAATTCCCAAAAATCATACTATCAGCGTTTTCATGTTAGTACCAACACACGTAGTTGACCATGTGCGTGTTTCCCCCCCCCACTGTTGTCAACAACAACAACCAGCAGTTGTCGATTTCGATCGTCTGTTCAGGTGGAGCTCACGGCCCTTTGTGGTGCTTACGATGTTACTGCATTAGTTTTACGCGCTCAACGTGTGAGTAGGGATGGGTCCTCCTTATTACTCTGTCACGGAGGTTGTTACTATATCGTTGTGAGCCGATGGGGCCAATAAGGATCAATTTGTCGTTGTCGCGAGTATCACCTTGGAAAAGTGTATATATGGAATATTATTAGGCACGTCTGTTGTGACGATATCTTTGGAGAGGTTATTCAGAGTTTCCAGTATTTTTCTTATATAATTGGAGTTTCACCACCACCCTAGTGATATGAAAAACACTAGTGAAAAACATATTTCACGACTACTGAGTAGAGCGAATTTCGCAGAGTTTTTCACAGAGTTTTACGCCACTTCACGTAAAACGGGTGAAACTCAATTATCATCAAAAAAAATTTCAGAGTTTCACGACCTGTTTTACGTGAAGTGGCGTAATTCGCAGTGATATGCAGTAGTCGTGAAAAATATTTTCACCAGTGGTTTTCATATCACTAGGGTGGTGAAACTTCATTGATCTTAAAATAGTCGTCGTTCTCGATATCATAGGTCCACTATGAGATCAAATACAAGGAAGTGGACCCAGAGACCACTCAGTGTATTCTGCTGTCTTATCATGATGGAGAACACTATAATGCAGTCCTATGGGAAGACGATGAACGACTACGGACTCTAGCTGAAGTAAGTGCCGGGGCCGGGATTTGAACCCAGGACCTCGTCTAGGTTCGTGAATGCTTCTCCTCAACGGGTGAAGATAAATGGGATGAAAAGAAGAAGAAGCAAAAGTCGAAAAATAAACGAAAAAAGGCGGGGAAGAAATCCCGTGAGAAGGACGATGAAGAACAGAAGCAAGGTGGAGAAGCGCAGCTGGTTCGAGTGTGAATTGGTTCAAGTTTCTTCGTTTACTTTGATATTGTAGTCTTCTAGTATTTTATGGTTTTCGGATAGGGGGCAGTTTTTTAGTATGGAATCTCTGTTATGAAGTCAATGATATTTCATGTATTGCGGTGCATAGATTATTGTGGCGCGCGCAGTGGGTGTTTGCATTAGCTATATGCGGATGCGATGCTTCTTTCTCCACCACATCTATAGTGCTAGTGCTAGTCGCAGCGGTTACCACATCTCCTCGTAGGAGAGTGGAGTTTCACGACTACCCGTTTTACGTGAAGTGGTGTAAAACGCGATTTTATTCGCGGTGATATGCGGTAGTCGTGAAATATGTTTTTCATATCACTAGGGTGGAACTTTAATATATATTTTTGTACTTTATTTCGTTGATTATATTATTTTTTATGAATTATAAACCAAATTATATTTGCTGATATTATTAATCCTCTTCTTGCGCAGCACCCCTTCAACCAGGCGAGTAATAGCCAGTATAGAGGTTTAGCTGCAGGCTCAGTCACTGCTGTCTGAGCCTGCAGTATGACAGTGTGTTATGAAACGGCAGAGTCCTAAAAGTATCATACTTCATATTATTCGTAGTTGTGGCTCGACGGAGTTTCACCCGTTTAAGGTGATACTCTATGTGGAAAACGCGATATTCGCGATATGAAGTGAATTAGAAAAGCACTCTGTGAATTACACCCCGGACAACTCACCCCATATCACGTAAAACACATCACGTATTCAACATCACGTCATTCGCTGCTCACATGTGTTTTTTTCGGGAAGCAAAATGAAGCTTGTGTTTCTCATTAGTGTTTTTTTCTTCATATCATGGGTGAAGCTCTAATGTTGTCGTCTCGAGGGTTGATTATACTCCAGCGGTTGGGCCCAGTATTAGTACAGCGATCTTGGGTTGGTATCTCGTCTACTACGGTGATTGCCTGTACGTCATGTCGTCGGAAGTGCAGCACTACGACAGAGGAGCAGAAGTATGGTGAATCGAAGGAATTAAGGAATCTGCTGAGTAATACTATTGTGGGGAATTTCGTGGTGCGCCCACATTATGATGACTAAATTTGTTATGTATTATTGAATTCTCCTTCGCACCCTATATTTCCTGTCGGTCCGCGATTTTGTTATACTGAGGGAGTTCGAGTATGTCGTTGAGTATTGTATGTGATCGGTGGTTTTGCTGGAAGAATTTAAGATCGTTTTGGTAACATATTGTATGCATAGTATTTGACACAGCGATTTGGTAGTTTGTGGTGAACACCGGCTGTGTGGTCTAGTGGTATGATTCTCGCTTTGGGTGCGAGAGGTCCCGAGTTCGATTCTCGGCTCAGCCCTATTTTTCTTGCGATTTTTTCTGCATATGCGGTCGCTGTAAGCAGTTCCGATCGCCATGGCGGATCCAACACAGACTTCATCAACACTGTAGTATCACTTCTAGGCGGCGGTTCCTTTCGAATATAACCAAGCTTGTCTAGTGGAGGAGAATATCTCCTGAGAGAATGTATCTGTACTTGGGTATCTATACTTTTCAGAGTTCATTATAATGTAGTAGTAATTGGACTGGTCACCAGACTGTGGCCGCTGTGCGTTGGAGGAACCAAGGGCGTATATCTTCACTTCGAACAACTTCTGCGGGGTATATTCATGGGATACGTAGGCAAGTAGTATAATAGGATATATATTCAACATCATTGGGGCGCATTTGTGATCTAACAAGGAGGTCCTTGTTAGTTTTATTCCTCAACTTTACTCAGAGAGTTGCCAGCATTCGCCAGGAAAGTTTCATGAACATTTTGATCTTCTTCATGGTTCACACGGATATAAACTCGACGACTGCGTTGATGTGCATCATAACTCCACGATATCCTCACCCTGTCGAGTTGTAGTGATTTATTCTCATCGCTTGACGCTAGCTATAGAGGATGGGCACATGAGCAGTCTATATCTCTGAGATCTTCTCGTAGTTCCAGAAGTCAAAATTCCGAGTCCAATTTATGAATTCTCTTAGGATGGGCATACATACAGTTATGGTTGAGAACACTCACGGTTTCGAAAGTCGTACCGTAAAAGGGATAAATTCCCTTCCTTCCCCCGAATAGTAACAGCAGCCTACGGTTTTTGTTAGTTGTGACATTCCTGTTTTATGTTTTCTTCATTCACCGGTGGAGACCAATTCGATGCAATATTCTCAGAGTCCGATGTAGACATCTCTGCCCTATCTACTGAGTCAACAGCTTCAGCACTAGTGAGTTAGCAGCTTCGCTCCGCCTTTTTTGATTGTTTTATTTGTCAGAAATCCGCCTGTTTTCACTACTCTCGTAAAGCCTTCACGGAAGCCCTAGCTGTTCTCGATCGAGTACCGGGTCCCTGGCCAGACCTGGTGGTCATAGCTCGCTATCTGACTCAGCTAGCGATCGAGCCGATCAACGCTGATGAGTTTGTTGCTCCTTTGGTCGCCCTTCACCAGAAGGGCACAAGTCCCCTTGCCTCATACTACCTAGCCCGGCACTACCATGCTACCTGTCGTTATATAGAGGCATTGACGATCATGAGAGAGGCCCTCGCTGCGGACCGTGTACTGTCATCTCGATATCAGCATCGCTTCGCTGAGCTCACGGCACTTTGTTTGACTGACCAGGCTTTGTGTATTCCCGATCCTGTGGTGGCTCGAAAGACTCTCTTGAACGCTGTTGAAGCCGATCCGAACTGTTGTGCGGCCCTTTATAACCTAGCGGTTATCACCACTGATCCTGTTGAAGCTTCTCAGCTTTACTTGAGGGTTCTCGAAATTGACCCGAACCACGTTCAGGCGCTTAACAATGTAGCTATTTTACGAAGGGAAGTTGGTCATGTTGAAGATGCCATTGTAGCGTTCCGACGGGCGCTCAAGTGCCTTAGGGACAGACACAGGGATGCACTTTTGGCAAACGATGGTACTTCTTCGGAGTTCAGTAGAAGTATTGCGATGATATCACGGGACCTGGCGCACACTCTGTTATCGAAAGAAGAAGAGGAGGCATGGCTTGAAGCGTATCAGTTGGCTCCTGATGACTATAGAGTCTTTCAAGTGAAAGCTTCTATGTTGCATCGACAGGGCGAATTCGCTAAGGAATTGCCGACTCTTGGTACGGCGATTGCTCTGGTGGATGGGAATGTTAATAGCAGAGTTAAGGGAGCTCTGTGGGCAGCTAAAGCGGAGTGTTACCGACTTCTTGACGACTGGGCCGACTGCAAAACGGCTATGGTGAAAGCGGTTGACCTCGATCCGTCTAATAAAGAATACCTGCATAGACTGGGGGCTATATATGGAGTAGCTGGCCGAGATCTTGAAAAATCAGTGAACTTGTGCAAAATTTCTGGCGAAGCGGAGGCGTTTAATACTGCTGGTATCTTTTTACGTGATATTGGACTAACACGATCGGCCATTGCCTCCTTTGAGGACTGCTTGAAAGCTGAGCCGGATCACCGTCATGCCTCACACAGTAGACTCATGAGCCTCAACTACCTCCCTCAGAGGGATGGCGGCTTATGGGTGGCCAAGGAGCATCGCAAGTGGGGGGAGTCTGTTGTGGCTCGGGTCGCTAAGGAAGTTGACAGCAAGACCATTTTCAGCGCGGCTGTTAGTCGAAAGAATCCCGCAGGCTCAGGCAAGATCAGAATCGGCTACGTGTCGCCTGATTTACGAGGCCATTCTGTGAGTTATTTCGTGGATGGTCTTTTCCGGTGCCATAACCCAGCTAAGGTGGAGGTCTATGCTTATCACGACTCGGCAGTAAATGATGCAGTAACTCGGAGACTGCGGGGATATATAGAAAGGCACTCTGAATGGAAATGGGTGGACGTGCACGATATGGACGATCGTCAATTGGCTCGGCAGATTTGGGAGGATCATATTGACGTTTTGGTCGACCTCGCGGGACACTCTGGTAACAACCGCCTTTTGGTCTTCGCAGTGAAGCCAGCGCCGTGTACTGTTACTTACATTGGTTACCCTAATACGACTGGCCTGCCCAATATGGACTTCCGATTGGTTGATGAGGTTACTGATCCTATAGAGTCTTCGGGCAACGGTTATAGCGAACAGCTAGTCCGCTTGCCTCACTGTTTTCTGTGTTATATACCTCCTGAAAATGTCCCCGAGTGTGTGTTGGAAGCCCCTCAACGACGCACTGGTGGGACTGCCACCTTCGGTAGTTTCAACACTTTAGCTAAACTGTCTGACGACACTGTACGGGTCTGGGCTCAAATACTGCGAGAGGTTCCAAACTCGCGGTTGATGCTGAAGTCGAAAGCCCTCGCTTCGACGGTCGCTGTGGAGAGGCTCAACCGGCTGTTCGCGGAGGAGGGTGTTCCGTCGACTCGGCTGGACTTGTTGGGAATGACGCCATCGACTTCAACTCATTTGGGCATGTACGGTGAAATTGACGTTTGCCTGGACCCATGGCCTTACGCTGGGACTACTACAAGTGCTGAAGCTATGTTTATGGGAGTGCCAGTGGTGACACTGGCACTGAAGGGTGCATGCCATTCACAAAGGGTTACTGCTAGCTTAGCAAGAGCGGTCGGTCGCGATTATGAGATTGCTACTGTAGCGACTAGTGAAGAGGAGTACATTGCGAAAGCCAAGAAGCTGGCTGAGAATGTTGGCGATCTCGAGAAGTGGCGGAGGGAACTTAGGCGATTGATGGCGGAAGGGCCACTGTGTGATGCAAAGAAGCATACGATAGAAGTGGAGGAAGCTGTTGAGAAGATGCTGGCGGAGACTCGGCATTCTGAGGGGAGAGAGAATAGGCCTGTGTAGTCTGCCAAACGTTTATAGACTAGTTTCTATCTTTGACAATGTTTGAGGAGGTTGCGTATAAATTAAATAAGATGTGGTATGAGTAACTCATAATGAGTTGCCTAGGAGCGATTGGTGATTGCTTTTGGGAAGCTGCTTTTGTCGAATCGAAAGACTGAGAGGCTCAGTCTCAGACGACTTGACGGTCTGAGGCGTTGTGTAGGCTGTTGAATGTTCATCGATTGAATTATAGTTCTGAATATTTGATGAAGAGAGCTGAATGTGAGTTAACCCCAGTGCCACGTAGGCCTATGGTCGTGTGACTTATGGAAATAAGGGTGATATTCGGTTGCAGTGGTGGCACCAACTCAAAGGCCACAATGACTGCTGTTGGTGGCCCGCTGGGGTATTGGCAATATTACCAGCTTATGCGACCCTCTAGGCTCAGTGCGGTGAGGATGGGGCAGCTATGCCACCACATGATGCTCTCGAGTGACATTACTGAGTCAGTAATATTGACATTCAATTTGTCTCTTGTGCGAATCTCTAGGCTTAGTGTGGTGAGGATGGGGCAGGTATGCCAAGCCGATTTGCCTTAGTGAGAACGATGTTTAAAGTGGGGCAGCTATGCCACGCCGAGATGCCCTCTGTAGGGGCTTAATATTCGATTCGCCTCCTCCCCCGTGTTCATAGGCCGCAGATGTATTGCATTGGGAATATGTTGAGCTTGAGGACTACTCGGAATTCCAGTCTAGGATTATGTGCAGCTTGATGAGAGTGGGGCGCCTATGCCAATTAAAGATATGCCTTAGTGTAGACGGTTGTCCTGGGTGAGATGACGATGTCATCGCGAGATACAACTCAATACGATAGATCCCACAGGCAACTATGCGGCATAGTAACACACTGTAACCGGCTGTTACCAGTGGTAACTTACCATCAACGTTTTTCGGTGGGGCAACTATGCCACTGGTATAGTGCCACCTCAAGATAGTATCTTGAAGATACTCCTTACGCGATCAATTCTCGCTCTCAGAGGCGGCAAACGAATAAGTGGGAAACGGCGATTGAAGGTGGGATGGAGAATAGTAGTTATATGGTCTCGGAGTTATAACAGGCCGCGGTGAAGTTTGATGAGCAGGCTACGATCACACGCAGTTCTATGCTTGGAGAATCGGCCCATATCACCATTCCGTATGAGTATCACCAAGGAGGTTCGAAGGCCCTCTAAGTCTGGAAACTTTACAATTTGAATTTCTGTGTTGCATCCACGCTTTCGCCTTTTCAGTGAAACGCTTTGAGCCGCCTGTGTATCAAATTGATGCTACCAATATTTGTTCAATGTCGGTTGTATACGATGTACGATTCATTCAGCGTTTAGTTGTCAGTAGCAAAACAGGGGCTGAGGAGGCAGTAGGGATTACAATGTGTTGCTAACATGAACTGGTTAACTCAAGTAGAACCAGAGTTACAATGAGGTTACTCAACAAAGTGTCAGATTACTCATTCAAATCAGGGTTTCAGGAAACTGGAAACTTTCCAGTTTCCTGGTTCCAAGACTTGACCTGAAGAACGTCTATAGGGGATCTAGCCGTTCCTAAGATCCGAAAGATAGATGTAACGATTACAGCCGAGCGAGGAATACAGCATGGGGCGAGCGACATCTCTTGTCGCGCTGACATCGTAATGGCGCGCGCTGACGTACGCACTCACTTGTAGTTTTACAAGTACATTTTTGCGCTCAGTATGCAGAAGAAGGCGAAGTTCACGTAAGAAGCAATGATCTCAATCTAGATATCAAGTATCGGAGGCCATACTTCGTATATTGTTAGATATGACACTGCGGCTGGAGTCGATTTCGCCTTCAGAGTTGCCCAATCACCGTCACCGCCAGTGGGTGGGAGAACGAAAGGAATACCTCCACGAATTGAAGTGGGCGATGACTCAAGTTTACGGTGTGATTCACCGTTTTCCCTGTAGTCCAAAAAGGAGCATAAGAACCAGGGTGGAAAGGATGTCAAGTCGAAGGCTGATATCAACAGTATTGCAGCATTTTTTGGAGCAGGTGAGGATGAAAGTGTGGTATTACTGCTGATCTAGATGGAAATACTTCGAAGTGGTATAGAGGCGAGTAGAAGAACTTTAGCGTCTTTGTGGTATTCGCCATGTAATGTCCGAAACGCTTGTTCGCCCGACTACCTAAGAGATGCTTGTGAATCCTCATCGGTTTAGTTGAAATGTTGTAGTATTCTGTTGGCAGCTTTCAACCTGGGATTTGTTGATAAAACTACGACCTGTCTGCTATTGCGTTTCTATCCAGTCCACAATTCCAGCTTTACCTTCATGTATAGTCGTAGATGCCTAGTGGTAGCAATACCGACTAGTACCAGGCTGCTCTACTGGAATCAGCGTTCTTATAGAACCTCTCGATTCGTCAGCGGCGTTATCAATGATTACTCACTGGTTCTGTTCAGGAGGAGCTGCATCGAAATCCAAGTCTGCGATGGCGAAGTCCCCCGCTCCGATATCACTGGGGAGTAGTTCCGAGGATGGCTCAACGGGTCGGCCTAAGTCGGCGAAGAAGAGAAAGCGTAGAGTTGAAGGGAACACTGCTACTATTGAGTGGTAGTCTTCTTCTCAGATTCGCCGGCCACACCGCCGAAGTCCTCAGCTAAGGTGAGGAAGCAGCATAGGAGTCCGGCGCCGAAATCAGCCGCATCGGCGAAAGCGAGAAAAGGCAGGTTAATGGAGGGAATTGTATGGCTTATAGGGCTTTGCAGCTGACTATTGTTAACCGGGTTTTTGGATACTGGTAAGATGCTGTTCGGAATTGCATCCTACGAATATCCTATTATCTCTTCCAAGTGAGGAAGGAATAGCCGATTCCTTGCTCAACTTCGATTGACCTTCCCTACTCATGATTCATCGTTTTTACTAACGAGTAGAGTGATCTGAATCGTCTCCCTCTCAAATGGTTATGCCATACCTTGTACCTGAACTCCTCGATATTCCTGCTATACATCTAGGAAGACTATGTGAAGGTTGTGCATTTCGGGTGGGCGATGCATGTAGTGTTCGGAATGGACGAGGAAACAGAAATTATTTTTCTATGAAGAATTATTGGTGAATTTAGGATCTGTAATTATAGCTGTTTCATGCGCGAATGTGATAACTTGAAAAACCGACTGCGCGAACATCGTAACAGCCCGTAGGAGCATCCCCTAAGCCTCGCAAGTCGGCGAAGTCGCCGCCACCAGCAGTGACGGATGAGAAGCCTTTCAATGGAAAGACGCTTGTCTTTACCGGCAATTTGGAGCGGCTTGAGGTCTGTACGAGAGCGTATTGCATTACGTTGAGTATATTACTACTGTTAGAATTTTGTTAATTTTTCAGCGAGACTTGGCAGTGACTAAAGCGAAGCTAGCTGGCGCAAAGGTCACCACGGCAGTCTCTGGGCGTGAGTGTTGCAGTTTATCCACACGCTTAGTTGCTCCTTGTAAGGTACGACGTATCTAGTAGTAGGGTCAGTATTGGAGGATGGTCGACCTATTGAGGAAGGCTCTAAGTGAGCTGTTGTGATAATATGTGGTTATTATTTCAATTGGTTGACTTTATTGTGTGTGATTGCACATACGTGTGTGATAACAGTGGAGTTTCACCACCCTAATGATATGAATAACACTAGTGGAAAACATATTTCACGACTACCGCATAGCGCAAATTTCGTGTTTTACGCCACTTCACGTAAAACGGGTAGTCGTGAAACTCCAGTGTTATCACATAGCTGTTATAACCTATGCAAGTTCTTATATAGTCATAAGAGAGTAACTGACATTGGTTACTAATAGACTACTCTGAGTTCACTTCGAGATGTTGTAATTTTTTCTCCTCACTTTTTTTAAAATTTTTGAAATTTTAGGTTCAAAAAGACGCAAGAGTTGAGGGCAGCAGGGAAGCCGGGACCTAGTTTGTTGCAAGAAAGTGAATTCATAGAGAAACTTCAGAAAGCGGGGCTTATGAAGGCTGGCAATGTCGCGGTGGTAAGTTGGAGGTATATTTGACTTTCCATGGGAAATGTGGGTGGAAAACATGTTAGTGATAAAATGGAAAATTTCCAAGGCAATGTTGAGGAATTATCAAGGATTTTTACATGTTTTTATTCGGACTCGTATGTTTACTTATATAATTGGCTGAAGGTTGGCAGCGCTGCGGTGAGCTACAGTGCGATTGGTTACAGGAGTTGTCCTAACACGAGTAGCATCTGGGAAAGAAAATGTCCAAATTTTACGTAATCGATCACGCTATGGAGGAGTTGTAAAATGTGCGAAATATAGTTTTTTACCTCTGTTATGATTTTGATAAGAATCCATTGGTAAAAACGATCGGATGCAGCGAACAGTGTTGACTGTAGTTATGTGAAATTATTCGAAGGTGTGGTATTACTTTTATTTTCAGGAGCAAGTGAAAGTCACTGTTGATGCGATCAAGCCGACATCGTCACGAAAAGACGGCAGTAGTGGTGGCGATGTGAAGGGAATCCTATGGACGGAAAAGTGGGGTCTTTGTTGTCCCGTGTGGTAAAATTTGCGCATGGTCAACCACATGTGTTGGTGACAATATGAAAACTCTGAGGAAAGTTTGGGAAATCCTTGTTAGTGTCTGTACACTAGTCGTATATATTCTTCCAATTCGTATATAAAATTTTATGATTAGTGAGGAAAATTTGGAGCTCAGCTGAGGAAAGCGAACATTTTTTGCAGCACTGTTGTTGTCTATGATGAGGGTAAGATGTGATGGTGATCAGATATAAGCCTCGCACGCTGAAGGATTTGGTAGGGAACAACGCACCTATCACCAAGTTGAGAACATGGTTACAGGACTGGGAAAAGGTGGGTCGCAATTGTATCTTGTCGTTTTTGCCATTTTTTGTTGGAATATTTTTCCCCCAGTGCCGATTGGGAAAATCTCAATTGCCATCGCGAGCGGCTCACCGCCTTGTGGAGTCTTTTGTTTTTTTCTTATATGATATTTTGTTATTGTTTTGAATTATCATGTCGAATAATGAGGTTCGTCGTTGTGAAGCTCAGTGAATGAGTAGATTTCTGCGAGGAAACTGGTGGTTGCGGGTTCGATCCCCGGTACATGCTTTTTGGACACATGAATGTTATGTGTCTCGACAGTTGAGCTGATGTAGTTGTGTAGTAGTGATTTTCACAGTGTATGCTTCGCTGCGTATGAGTAGGTCTATGGCTCAGGTGCATGTTCATGGACAAAAGAAACCGGTGACATTCAGAGGGCGTGGGGTAAGTTGTTGGGTTACATAATATTTTATAAGTATATTAGTATTCGGAATATGTAGGCATACGAGGCATTTGATAATTATTTCTCTCTGATTTTTTGCCACCCTTGTGGTTGTTTATGGTTTATTGTGCTATCAGTCAGTAAAGAATCATAATCGATCAATCTTCGCTGTGCGCGCAAAATATGTTGGTGAGAGAATCTTTCAATGTAGCTTATATGGTTTAGTAGACTTAGCGAGGGTTTGTCGATGTGTTTGGAACGTCTTTGTGGATGTAAGGTACCGGAGAATGTGAATGCCAAGGCAGTTTTGGTCTCGGGCCCACCTGGTATAGGCAAAACCACGGCATGTCGCCTTGTCGCTCGAGAACTGGGTTATGTAAATATTCTGCATCTTGTTGTGATGGTATCGTGTATTTTAGATGCCGATGGAGTTCAACGCCTCCGATCAACGCAACAAGGCGACTGTTGATAATCTGGCTTCAGGACTGGCGACCAATGCGGTTATCGGACAGAACTACTCACTCAAGCAGTGGGAATAATAGGGACTTGTCGAGTGTGAATCGATAGAACTCAGGAAGCCGTGTTTGGTTATGGACGAGGTGGACGGCATGTCTGGAGGGGACAGAGGAGGAGGAGCGGCACTTATTCAACTCATTAAGAAGAGCAAGGTGGGAGAGTACTGTTGTGGACATGATTTGAATCTTTTGTAGTCGACCTTTGGATTCATGTGCGTAAAAGAAACTTTATTGTGGTTTGCTCGGCACATGGTGTGTGTCAGTGTTGGAGGAATATCTGTTCGCTTCCCTCAGCTGAGCTCAGGAGTTTACTCGCTAATTGTAGAAGTTCACATACGAATCCGGGCAGGAGTGTATAGGCTCGTAATAATCTCGGAGAAATTCTTCACAATTTTCATATTGTCACCAACACGTGCATATTTTTCCCACACTGTTATTTCTATTGCTATATAAAGAGGTTCTCTCCTTTTTAGATGCCAGTTATGTGTATCTGCAACGACAGGATGAGCACTAAGGTAACACCAGCTGCTCGTAAGCAGGGCTATGTCCGAGTCAATCTACTCCTAAGAGTTGGCCAAGAAGTTTTGTGAGGAATTAGACGGAGGTTCTAGGCCCTCTGGGGTCGAGATTCTAGAAAGCAAAAACCAAACTACTACGGCTCGAAGGTCTTTTCTGCAAATTCATAACAAGGCTTTATAGGTGCGCTCCTTGGCTAACTCCTGTTATGACATCCGCTTTACGAAGCCAACGGGAGCTCAGTGTAGCCAACGAGTGGCGGCTATAGCAAAGTCTGAGGGAGTTCATGTGAGTTCTTGTGTGCTGTCCCTGTTCGGCGAAATGTTGTTGTTCCCGTTAGGTTGATACGGACGCTATGGCGATGCTGGCGGAACAGCTCGGTGGGGATATGCGCCAGGTGAGTATCGTAAGTAGGCTGTACAGAAATTCTGGGAGGAAGTTTCAGGAAAAACACTTTTATAATGGAGTAATAATAATATATTTATATAATATAAAATATTACTAATATTATTATTAAAATATTAATAATATATATATTTATATATGTTTATATAATACATTTTATGATGGAAACTCCTGAGCTCAGCTGAGAAAAGCGAGCATATATTCTCCCAATACTAGTTCATGGGAGTTTCACTTCTATTATGTAAACGCAAAAGAGTCTGAGGTAGTTAGAAATCACTATAATCTCAAAGAATGTCATAGGTAACCATGAAAAATCGGCGGTTGTTACATGGGGTATGTCGGAAATTTGTGGGATTATTTTGTGGCGCGTGAAGGGTCATTTTATCGTTCATTCATGTAGGAGGTGGATTCGGCATCTGAAAAATCATTAGACGATAATTCTGAGGTTGTCAGTCGTAGGAAATTTTCGTTGAATATTTGGTATTAGCGCCTGCGTTACGTTGTTGTAACTTCAACAGAGATGATGGTCGATTTAGATAATCAACAATCTAGAGATGCTCAGTCTGGCTGCGGAGTCGGGTAAGGCCGCAACGGTATCGGTTGGTACTCGTGGTGGGGGGAAGGACGTGCAGAATATGCTAAGTAGGAATAGGCTGAGATGATGATGTTGTTGATGTTGAAGGGAAATGTGAAGGTCCTTTTGATGTGTGCAAGACCCTCCTTACTTCGACAATGGCACGGCGTTTGTCCTTTAAAGAGCGGAGTGATATGTAATTCGGACCTGCTTTGTATCTTCCATGCTGCAACCTTGCATATTTTCAGGTATTATGTAGACTATGATTTGATTCCTTTATTAATGCAGCAGAACTACATCAAATGTGTTGAGAATGTGCTGAGCAGCTTCGCTCCGCCTCTTTTCATCTTTTGCTAGGTGGTTGGGCCGGCAAGCACTCGGGCCTTGGCTGGCATTGCCAAGGCTGCCGACCTCATGAGCGAGGCGGATATGATATCCACAGCTGTTAGGAGCGGTCAGGAATGGACGCTACTGCCCTCGCACTGCGTAGGATTCTTTGGTTGCCATCCGCACAATTTATAGCTCCTCAGTTTTGCAGTGTCTCTGAACTTTTTCTCTCAGTTGGTGAATTGGTTGATGTATAGGTCCTTTCAACTGTGGGCCCATCTTTCTACTGTAACAACTTCATCGGCTTTCCGGAGTTTCCTCAGTGGTTGGGAGCGAACTCCACTACTACCAAGAACGCTCGACTGGTGCGTGCCTTCGTTCCCTTCGCCGTTGCAGACTACTCGTAGGTTCGCGAACTTCGTGGTATGCTGTCACAGACGACATCAATGTCTGCCCGAGATCTTCGAACTTCGGTATTGTCTGAATATAGTCGATTACTCTCAATGCATGTGCGCACTGCAGGGCTATATGGACCTGCTTTATGACAGTATTTTGCAGCCGTTGAAGAACGGCAAGGAGGACACTCACGCTTCGGTAAGGCCTTGGTTGGGGATAGTAGTTGACTATTCGTTGCTCTCAGGTGGCTAGCTGTATTCAACTGCTTGATCAACTGGGTGTGTCGAAGGATGGAGTGTTGGAGTGCCTTACAGATCTAAGACTGCCAACACAACCTGATGAGTTGACGCGACTTCGCGAGAGTCGTTGATGATGAAGTCGATGTTGTCAGATACAAGACGATTGATGCTAAGACGAAAAGTGCTCTCACACGGAGGTACGGTGTTCGCAGGACAACTGAGTTATCATTGGTGGTTGTAGTTACAACAAAGGAGCACACAAGTCCAAGGTGCTGTTGCCGGGCAGTGCGCCCAATATGTTCAAAGTTAAAGGAGCTGGTACCGCGAAAGTGAGTGTTGGGATTAGACAACTCAGCAAGAGTCATTAACAAGTGGTTCTCAACTTGTCATCAATACAGTTATCATTAAGCGTATGCTAGGCTAGCAATGGGAATAAGTATTGCAAAAGTCTATAAGCTGGACAGCATTTCCTCACACTGAGTTTTCTTGATCATAGGAAATTGTGATGAGCTTCTGCATGCACAGTCGTGGCATGATATTTGTTCATGTTGTATTTAGTGTAGGACGATTATGTCAGGGGTCGAAGGGAAGGAAGTCAGCGGCAGTAGCGGGGTCGCAAGACGATGAACAAGTTACGGTGGACGAGGAAGATAAAGAAGCCGAAGATCCCCGAATGGCTGGGATAGTCTAATTGGCTGCTTGTTCATTTCCTGCACGACTGGGCTGAGGTGTTGAGTTCAATGTGCGGTCCAGCAACTGTGTGATTTCTCTTAGACACGAAGTTGGCGCTGCGAACTTCAGGAGCAGTTCGTCTTAGATTAATCCTAGTTTCTAACAATCAGTGATCAATAGTGCATAACTGTACTTTTCAGAAGTCTATTTTGCGGTTGAAGTCACCAGTTGGGCGAATAATGAAATCTCATTCGCTGATAGACTCGAATAGAGAATCAAGTTCGCAGATGAGATCAGTTTCATGACTAGGGAATGCATTTTCGCGGACATCAATTCCGGGTATCAGTATCAAGTGCACAGAAGTTCTCAAGAACGTTCGTTGGTACCTAGTGCAAGACCATGATTGGACCCTGCTAGCTGTGATGGTCTCATATATGGACTATTGAATGAGTTCCTAGGTACCTGTAGAGAAGTATAGCTGCTCAATGACGTTCGTCCCGGGCATCCTGCGAGCGTGCAGTATTTTACTGAGATATACCTCGTTTCATGCTTACTATCTTGGAAGTGGAAAGAATCGAATTGGTAGGTGGTCATTCCCTGGTCAGTGGTAGACTATAACGCCAATGTAGAGGGTTTAAAGGAAAAATCTCATATGAGAGTAGGCTCAGCGGCAGCCAAACGTTCGAATGTTTCGTTCGTTGTTCTCGAAGCTCAGCAAATATTCCATCACGCGGAAGTTGGAGGTGCTTCTAGGGGGGGACTCCTTCTCGAGCTAGCCGCGCGCACTGCTGGAAGGATATTTGGATTGCGAATTTCGGACCTGTAACGAAGTTGTGGTAAATACTTGCTTCATTTGGCGGTCCCTCGTGGTTGACCACGGCAACTTCATCTCATAACTTGTGCTTGACGGACTCTTGTGTATATCGCTGATTGATTCGCTTCTCACACTTGTTCTGGTGATTGGTCCCCACGTGCTCCTACCGCGCCGCGCGGTCCGCGCGTACGCCAAGTGTGCCAGCAAAGGCGCATGCGTGTATCTGATCTAAGGCAGGAGCTCGTCCCGTGACGAGCATCATGAAGAACTCTTCCGGTATAGCGCCAGCCATGACTTGTCAAGGCTACTGCGCATATACTGCACACGCTTACAGTTGACATCTTATTGATTTAGGAGTGAGACCTGTCGTTGTTACAACGACGTTGTAGTCTTAGCGAAGCTTTGCGCCACTGAAATCGTCTATGGGGTGTGCACGTGTAGGGCCCACAATACACACGTTTAAACTCTTTCGGCCTGATGATCATTTCACTAGCATAGCCTTTTCTTCCTCGGTTAGGAAGCTGCCTTTGGCCATCTGAGTTGCGGACAACAGAATTGCTTAAGAAATTTGCACGCCTGCCTACGGTCATTTTAGCACGCGCCTCAATAAGTCAATCGGGAGTTCGATTTAGCCAACCAAACTCCTAGTGTATACTTGTTATATGGATGCATTCATTATGCTGAGATATTGTATGAATATTCGCCGTATTACCCGAGAAATCGAATTTTCACGCATTTGCATAAGAAAAACGCACGCACAGTAGTCAACTCTAGCTTGGTTGTCCATGTAGCGTTGGTCATATCATGATGCATTAGGCATATAACTCATATGCGGAACCACCGTAGTTCAACTGCGGGACAAAGCCCTTCCTTGGCTGACCACCGATCAACTGTACGTGACTTCATTGATGTTATATAATGTAGCTGACCATTATGTCACTTTAGCTGAGCCATTCTGTGTGCACCACTGTGATCCGAGCATCTCCAATGGCCCATTGGCAATGGGAATTCTCTATGAGTGTAATTTGATTCGGGTAGCGGATTTCAAGCATCTGCTGATGACGCGTCCTTCATTCAGCGCTGCTGAATAGAATGTTTCGCCTCCTTACAGTTGGCCTTTACCGTGTTCTCCGATGCGCATCGGCTGCAACGTCTTAACCCTCTGGTCAATCTTCAATATAGTTGTTGCTCGACTTCCTGGGCGTGGCAGTAATTCTATCATCTTTAACTCGCGAAGTATCGAGGAATACCTCAACTCCGAGCCTACAATCAAAACCGATGGGTCTTCTAGCTCGTCTGCCCATCCCATTATAGACTGGTTCGAGAGCTCTATAACTCACTTGAAGTCCTGGGCTAAGTCGGAGCTCCTCAGTTGGGCTTTGGAGATTGCGGATACTGTTGATGATCATATTGAGGGTGTTGATATGCTTTACAACTTTGTCCCGAGATATGTTGCGACCTTGGACAACGACGGGCAGTGGCATAGCTTCAGTGGCCGCTGCTTCCGATCCATCAAGGTACGCTCAACTGAACAACAAAATGGCACCATCGTGATCGAAGCTGACTACCAAGATGCCTTCTCTCGAACTTGTGCTGAATATATTGTATACGGTAACGCTGATGACTTCTCTGCGCGATATGAGGAACTGCATGGCACCAAAATCTATACCTGGACTGCTAACAAGGGAAATATCTACTTCTTTGATCTCCGCACTTCGCTGAAAAATGCAGTTGAAGGCATCGATAAAACCGTAGCCTTTTTGCGTGGTCATGATCACGCCCTCGACTTCGTTAAACACTTCATGAACATCACTTTCGAGAAGCGTACCAACCCTGGTGAAGTTAAGATATCTGAGGAAGATATTCATCCTGGTGATGCCATTATGGTCACTTGCATCGATGGCCAGAGTACATCTATTATGTGGAGTGGCGGTTCCCTAGCAAGTCATACTGCGATGTTCTTGCGTGAGCCCGAGACTCAAAAACTCTACGTTGTTGAAAGCTGGTATACTGGTGTCCGCAAGCTCACATTTGAAGAATATCTCAAGAACGATACTGCTCCTTATAAAAACGCCGTTCACATTCCTCTGAAGAACGAACTCCGTGACAGCTTCGACAACGATGCTGCCTGGAAGAAGTTCATCACCGAGTTCGAGGGCAATGACTACGGATTCAATAACTTCCTCTTCACTATCGCGGATACTATCAAGAGCAATTATCCCTGCCTTCCGATGGATGACTACCAAACCTGCCTATCATGGGAGCTCATCCAAGTCCTTCTCGGTTTGGTCGAGCGTGTTAGGCCCGATATCGCCAACCTGCTTTTCCTCGAGGCCTTAAACCATCGCATGAACACAACTGCATTGAATGTGAGTGATCTGCTCAAGATGGCCGATGCCAAGCTCAAGGGCGGCTCTGCTGTGCTCCCAACTATTCCAGAGAAGGACAACTGGACCTACCATATCCATCGTAACGGCCAGGCCGTGATGGGACCCTCGCGCGTTTGCAGCGCTCTCGTGTGTGAATTGCTCCGTGCTGGTGGCGCTCTAGGCGACCATGAGCTCTCCTGTTCTGAGTTCACTCCTTTTGATATTTATAGTATGGATATTTTCACTACTCCTACCCACCAGCTCAAAGGGGACTACGTTATCAACTTGACCAAACCTGAAGCATTGCGCCTCGGGCAGAAGTCAGTTACCAGTAATATGGCTCAGAGATGTGGTAGTATAATCACCGCGGGTTCTTACTACGTCAGAGAGCCTCATTGCTAAGTGTTACGATTCCTCTAGAATAGAGCCTTTAGTCTTTCGGCCCTCACTCGCCATTCTGCGATTATTTCAGAGCAGCTATCGTACCTTTTCGATGGATGGTAACTTGGAATCCTCATTCTCCTCCCCGTTATTTTTTTTCTTCTCCTTCTTGATAGTTTGAAGCGGCACGGTCTCGTGGGCCCTATAGCCGCCTGCATACTTCCCGTTATTAGGACGGCGAAATTCTGTTGGAGGAAGGTTTTCTGGCGAGAGGTCGAAGTGTTTAAGATAGTCGGTTGAAGATAATATTAATCGACGACTCAATCGTGGTAGGATGATGATACACTTTCCCTGTATGGTGTAATATCATTGGTAGGCGATCGTCAGCTCGACTTAGGCACGTCGCCCTGATGAGCCTTGGGTTACAAGCAGTTTCAAGCAATCCGCTGTCGAGTTGTCAATGACAGCTTGTCATGGAAATGGTATCAGGCATTCTTTTATAACCATTGGGTGTTCGTTGGGATGAGATTCTCATCATGAGAACTCACTTCCCTCAAAATTCGAGTGAGATCACCATGGAGATAGGTTGGTGCAAGTAGAACGCCGTCATCGCAAAGCCTCTCCCGTTTCAAGGCTTTCTTCACCGTAGGCGGTATGGTACCATCACTCTCATCCAACAGCACCTTCACAACCTCATCAGAGAGCTTTGACTCACGCCGAATACGAATGAGCCGATCAATGTCCACATTATGGACCAAGTGAGGCATATGCGGCGCTGGCTTGGACTCGAATTCAGGAGGAAGATCGTCATTTACTACTCCGAGGCCTTTCAATGCGACCCACGAACGGACTCCGTTCTCTGCTCCGAGCAGAGAATCCGCTTGGTTCTCAGAACTAATCACTTTCTTGAGAGTCTATCGTAGTACGATAATCGTACACCAGCCCCGGGGGCTGAGCCCCCCTAGGCCGTCAATGATTTCTGGAATAGATAATAATAATCAACGAACCGCAACCTCTTCCACATTCTTCGAAGTGCACCGGATATTGACACTTCCTTGACACACTGTTTGAGAATCACCACGAACACGAGTATATACTGCCACCACTAATCTGCACGGAATCGGATAGCCGAGGAAAGCACAATTTAGAATCCATGGCTTCGTCGCCCACAAACAAGGTGGCCCAGCCCAAAGGCCGAGTGTAAATCTTGAAGGCGATACCGCCTTCGCCTTCGTAACCGAGTTTGTTTCGGTTAGCCGGGCTCGAAGAATCGCCACCGAAGCGTCCGGGACGAGCGCCTCAGAACTAGGGTCCCTAGTTCAACTAGACGTGCTCCTGACAGGAGATGGCGACTCGACACTTCGTTTCTCCGGGTCGAAGATGGCACAGCACTCATCCCCACCGGAGATTCCTGAGGACATCTCTGGTGTCCAGGATCTCGCCACTCTTGCAGAGAATCAGCGTCTCACCGAGACAACAGTCAATGACCGGCCGTAAAAAGATGCTGCGAGATATCTCGATCTCGTCTCGATGTATCTTCCGCGTAACAAATTCTCGATCGTTGGATATCGGAGGATTTTCTCGTTATCTCGATCTCGTTCTCGATTCTCGAATCGGGCGAGCGCGCCTTTGCCGGTGCGGCCGAACTCGCCAAATTTCCAAAACATATGAAAGTGTTTTCACTATCCGGGCTGAGTTTGCTCGTAATTCGTCTTTCCCTCTGATCCCAGTCTGTTAAGTGACTTCGACGGACGGCTCTCCACGAATCGAATCGTCGTCAAGCTCTATTGAAGACACTGCTGTGGTGACAGTCCCAGTGGAACTGTCCCGCGCTTGACGGTGATCGTGGATTTCCACCGTCAATTACCAGTCGACATTCCTAGATTTTGTGAAAGGCCTGCATTTTGCGATGATCATAATATGATTCATGCGCTATAATAATGATCCTCAGCTTCTAGAAGTCTCCCAGACAGTTGCTGTCATAGACGGAGTTGATGGAGACGATTGAAAGTCACTCAAAACGCAGTTGTGAATAAAATGAGAAATATGTCAAATTTTTCATCATGAAATTTCAGTAATATTCCAAGTGAGATATTTCCCGCTGTCGCGGGATCTGGTTTCAGCCACCCTAGCCACCGATCCCATGCCCCATTGTACCAAATTCCCTGGTTACGACCATGGTTCCACTGGAACCGTTCCAGCTAAGCTTTGGAGAAAGACCATACTGATTATAACGTAATGATTCCACACGAGTCATGTGGAATCATTTGTCGCGGTATCAGTTGATGAACCCTGAGAGGAACACAATAAGGGAATTCGAGCTAGAGCAACCAATACTGCGACCCTAGCACACTAACAATAAGCGCACTACCCGCACGAATCTTCCACACGAATGCGCTTGACCTCTGCACGCATATACAGTGTATATTATACACTGTGAGAAGCATAGTAATCGATATTGGGTTCACTCGCTATAAGGGGATGGCGAAGGTTTTCTCCATAGTGCAACCTCTCAGGGGATAGCAATACCCTTCGGGATGGGAAGGAACAACACTAGCGGTGGGAAGATCAGCAATATAGCAAGATTGTAGGCAAACTGGACCCACAACACATTGCGCGCGTTCTGTGTCACGCCCACGGACTCACTGCGTGTCCTCTGTGTCACACAATCTGGTATCGGTTCGGCAACCAATGCGGATATCGGACAGAGCTACTCACTTGGCCAGTGGGTCCCACTGAGTGGGAATAATAGGGTCGAATGTAAATCGATATGACTCGGGAAGCCGTGATTGATTATGGATGAGGTGGACGGCATATTTAGAGGAGACAACGGAGCCTCCGCTGTCGGACAACTTGAAGTGCCGCACTTATTCAACTCATCAAGAAGAGCAAGGTGGGGAGAACTTGAACCGCAGTTCACGCCATGCGTTCCTTGCCACATAGAACCTCCGAACCCACAGGCCATGGATTCCCCGATTGCTAATCTATAGACAATAAGACTACCAACCTAAAACTAGTGGCAAGTTGGTCTGATTAGCGATCTCATCCATGACTGGAAATCCAGCCTTCGCTGAATGACGTATCGGTTCTCCCACCCTATATTCTTGAGAGGTTTTTGGCATGATCACCGTTATAGCCAGGTCTATCTTGGTCGTTCATATAGCGTTAGTCACATCACAAGGCCTTGGGCGTATGACTCATTTGCCTAACTACGAGACAAACCCTATCCTTGGTTGCTCCCCGATGTATGGTACGTGACTTCAACGAAGTCACTTCATTGATGTTACATAATGTAGCTGACCATTATGCCACTTTAGCTAAGTCATTCTGTATGCATCACTGTGATCCGAGCATTTCCAATGGGAATTCTCCATGAGTGTAATTTGATTCGGGTAGCGGACTTCAAGCATCTGCTGAAAACGCGTCCTTCATTTAGCGCTGCTGGATAGAATGTTCCGCCTCCTTACAGTTGGCCTTTACCGTGTTCTCCGATGCGCATCGGCTGCAACGTCTTAACCCTCTGGTCGATCTTCAATATAGTTGTTGCTCGACTTCCTGGGCATGGCAGTGATTCTATCATCTTTAACTCGCGAAGTATCGAGGAATATCTCAACTCCGAGCTTACAATCAAAACTGATGGGTCTTCTAGCTCTTCTGCCCATCCCATTATAGACTGGTTCGAGAGCTCTATAACCCACTTGGAGTCCTGGGCTCAGTCAGAGCTCCTCAGCTGGGCTTTAAAGATTGTGGATACTCTTGATGATCATATTGAGAGTGTTGATATGCTTTACAACTTTCTTCCGAGACATGTTGCAACCTTGGACAACGACGGGCAGTGGCATAGCTTTAGCGGACGCTGCTTCCGATCCATCAAGGTACGCTCTACTGAACAACACGATGGCACCATCGTGATTGAAGCTGACTACCAAGATGCCGTCTCCTGGACTTGTGCTGAATACGTTCTCTACGGTAACGTTGAAGACTTCTCTGTGCGATATGAGGAAATGCATGGCACCAAAATCTATACCTGGACTGCTAACAAGGGAAAGATCTACTTCTTTGATCTCCGCACTTCGCTGGAAAATGCAATTGATACTATCATCGAAACCGTAGCCTTTTTGCGTGGCCATGACCATGCACTAGGCTTTGTTGAACACTTCATGAACATCACTTTCGACAAGCGATCCAACCCTGGTGAAGTTGAGATATCTGAGGAAGATATTCATCCTGGTGATGCCATTATGGTCACTTGCATCGATGGCCAGAGTACATCTATTATGTGGAGTGGCGGTTCCCTAGCAAGTCATACTGCGATGTTCTTGCGTGAGCCCGAGACTCAAAAACTCTACGTTGTTGAAAGCTGGTATACTGGTGTCCGCAAGCTCACATTTGAGGAATATCTCAAGAACGATACTGCTCCTTATAAAAACGCCGTTCACGTTCCTCTGAAAGAGGAGCTCCGTGACAGTTTCGACAACGATGCTGCTTGGAAGAAGTTCATCACTGAGTTCGAGGGCAATGACTACGGATTCAATAACTTCCTCTTCACTGTTGTAGATACTCTCAAGGACAATTATCCCTGCCATCCGATGGATGACTACCAAACCTGCCTATCATGGGAGCTCATTCAAGTCCTTCTCGGTTTGGTCGAGCGTGTTAGACCCGATATCGCCAACCTGCTTTTCCTCGAGGCCTTAAACCATCGCATGAACACAACTGCATTGAATGTGAGTGATCTGCTCAAGATGGCCGATGCCAAGCTCAAGGGCGGCTCTGCTGTGCTCCCAACTATTCCAGAGAAGGACAACTGGACCTACCATATCCATCGTAACGGCCAGGCCGTGATGGGACCCTCGCGCGTTTGCAGCGCTCTCTTATGTGAATTGCTCCGTGCTGGTGGCGCTCTAGGCGACCATGAGCTCTCCTGTTCTGAGTTCACCCCTTTTGATATTTACAGTATGGATATTTTCACTACTCCTACTCACCAACTCAAAGGGGACTACGTTATCAACTTGACCAAACCTGAACCATTGCGCCTGGGTCAGAAGTCAGTTACCAATAATATGGCTCAGAGATGTGGTAGTATAATCACCGCGGATTCCTACTACGCCAGAGAGCCTCATTGCTGAGGTTTGCTACTCCTCTGACATAGCCTTTTTTTATCTCTAAGTGCTCACTCGTTATTCTGCGAGTATTTTAGACCAGCAATCGTACCCTATTTCTCTTCTTCCGATGGATGGTAAGTTCGCCTTCTCATTCTGCTTTCCGTTACAACGGGAAAGGGAAGTTACACGTGCTTTCCAACGGGAGATCCAATGTTTGGGATAGCCTGTTGGAGATACAATGTTTAAGCGACTCAATTATGGAAAGATGATACACGATTTATGTATGGTATAATCTCTTTGATATGCGATCATCAACTCGACCCATGCACCTCGCCCTGATGAGCCTCGGGCTGCGAGCAGTTCTCATTTCATAGCATTAATGCGCTATTTGAGTTGTCAATGACAGCTTGTCATTATGACAATGTCATGCCCAATACAATGTCATGGAAATGATATCAGCTTGATATTATCAAGCATGCGAACACCATCATCGCTGCTTCCGTTTCAAAGCCTTCTTGAAGAAAGTTCCTTCATCATAGGCGGTATGGTACAATCACCCTCATCCAACAGCATCTCCACAACCTCACCATAGAAATTCGACTCACGCCGAATACGAATGAGCCGATCAATGCCCACATTATAAGAAAGTGAGACACATGCGCAACGGGCTTGGACTCGAACAAAGTAAGAAGATCGTCGGCTCAGAAACAGCTCAGAGAATCCGCTCGGTTCTCCAACCACTTCCTTGAGAGTCCATCGTACACCGGCGTCCTTCAGATCGTCAATGAAGAATGATAATCGACGAGCAACAATGTTCTCCACACTATCTCGAGTTCTATTACTAGTTTTCTTTTCAAAGAAAACTTGGCACTACTCTCGTAGTGCTGACCGCTCTTGCTCGGGCTTCTATGAATCAGCATCACCGCTCACTGTTCACACCTCCAGTTCTCTCACGAGACGCTCATACTCCTCCTTCCACTTCTGAAATGAAGCATTTGATGTGGGAGCTGTAGACCTAAGCCGCAGTTGAACATTATCAGAAGAACTTCTTATTGATTTGGGCTAAGGATTTAAAGCTTCGTAGCTAAGGACGAAAAATACGATTGTACAGTTGTAGCGCATATCCACAATACTGTATTGTGGATTTCCACCGGCCCGGTGGGAATACACCTTCAAGAAACACTCATGCTCAAGAAGTACTGTATTGTCAATACAGTATTTCTTGAGCTGGATCGAGACGATGGACTACGTATATGATCTCAGGCATCAACTGTCTCCGAACAAAAACCACAAAAAACTATACTTGATAGTATGAGCTTGATACTCACTGATCATCACAAAACTTGTGAGACAAATAGGAGAGAAAGGCACAGCTGTGTACCACACACTCAAAACTTACGCGCCGTAAGTCACGCATGACCCGCTTTACTTGATGTCAGGCTTAGGACCTCGAATGATTGATGCTACTAGCGCCACGCTGGCAGCGCGAGGCTAGGATGATTAGCAATGCTGAGTCAGCATTCTATGCTAGCACTTACCGCGACAGCTCATTGGCATAGATATATCGTTGACCTACGAAGCTGAGCTTCGGAAGCTCACAGTCGTCCGGAACGACTGGCCACGTCACAGGTCCTATTTTCGACCTGCACAAGAACGATGCCTCATCAGCATGGCAATAATCACAGACAGCAAATACTCTCTTAGCGGTATATAACTCTCATTATTCTCTATCGCTAGTACTATTTTCAATCCTCTGAAGATGGCCTGAGTCGCCAAGGACCCTACCGTGAGTTTTTCCCCAATTTTTTCGCACCTCCTCACGGAGTTTACTATTTATCATTGATAAATAGTAAACTCATTGCACGCATGTGGCTTGATAAATTCTCAAGCCACATGCGACATGTACAATTGAAGACACTATGCAAAAACGCTCACTACTAGTATCCTTAAAATAACATGCTTCTGAAGATTCGCCTTGCCGCGAGGCCCTTGCGTGATCGATACTCATAATAGTTCAAAATCGGTGTGATTTCTCCTCGAGAGAATTATCGATTCGCCATACCCAGTGTGCCTCAAGCCATCCCAGTATCGCGTAACTCGACGTTCATCCAAGAGGGCTAGAAACGGCAAAGAGTAAAACGGATAATATCTCTACATCTACCAGGAACGTGAGCAACAGTGTAGAACTGAATGCCCGGTAGAGAGTCAATATAAGTAACACTATGATAGTCTAAAGTATTGACAATATGCGACAAGTACCACTGGACATGATTTTAGGTTAGCACCCATTAGCTCGTTCATAATAAGAATTCGCGGTGATAATACTTTCACATTTTTGAGCCATGTTATCGGTAACCGGCTTGTAGCCGAGGCGTAGTGCTTCAGGCTGGGTCAAGTCGATAGCGTAATCCCCCTTGAGTTGATAGGTAGGAGTGGTGAAGATGTTCATACTGTAGACATCCCATGGGGTGAACTCAGAGCAGGAGAGTTCATGATTTCCCAGAGCACCACCAGCACGAAGCATCTCACACACGAGAGCGCTGCAAACTCTGCTAGGCCCTTTGACAGCTTGGCCGTTACGATGGGTATCGTAAGTCCAGTCATCATTTTCCGGAATGGTGGGGAGAATCGCCGCGCCTCCCTCTAACTTGGCATCGGCAGTCTTGACTACTTCAGACAAGCTGAGGCCTTCGGTGCCTAGGCGATGATTAAGAGCTTGGCCGAATATCAATTGAGCCATGTCGGGCTTCACTCGCTCCACAAGACCTACGGCAACTTCAACAAACTCCCATGATAGGCAGGTTTGGTAGCCATCCATTGGGAGACAGGGGTAATTGTCCTTGAGAGTATCTACAACAGTGAAGAGGAAGTTGCCGAATCCGTAGTCATTGCCCTCGAACTCAGTGACGAACTTCTTCCAGGCAGCATCGTTGTCGAAGCTGTCACGGAGTTCCTCCTTTAAAGGAACGAGTACGGCGTTGTTATACCATCCAGCGTCGTCCTTCAGATATTCCTCGAAAGGGAGCTTGCGTACACCACCAGCCCAGCTCTCAACGGCATGGAGCTTCTGAGTCTCGGGATCACGCAGGAACATCAGAGTATGACTTGGAATGGAACCACCACCCCACATTATAGCAGCACTCTGACCTTGGAGGTTGGTCACCATAACAACATCACCAGGATGGATATCTTCTTCCTTTATGTCCACTGCGCCTGGTTCGGCGCGCTTCTCAAATTGGAGATGATTGAAATGCTTGAGGAACTCCTCGACATCTCTACCAAGGAGAAAGTCGGCGGTTTTGATGACGCCTTGGGCTGCGTTGCTCAGGGACGTGCTAAGGTCGAAGACGTGAACCTTGTCGTGATTTGCAGTCCATTTATACGTCTCAGTGCCTCGAATGATCTTGTACTGCATATGGAAGTCATCGACGTTGCCGTACAGGACGTACTCAGCACATGTCCAAGAGATAGCATTACGGTAATCAGCCTCTATGATACAAGTACCGTCGGATTGAAGGCTAGCGCGAACTTTGATATTCCGGAAGCATCTCCCTGTGTAATGGTGCCACTGCCCGTCAGTTTTCAAGGTAGCGACGTGTTTGGGTATGAAGTTGAAGTACATGTCCTCACCGTCAATAGTATCACCGAGAGTGTCGATGATTCTGCTAGCAACACTCAGCAACTTATTACTCGCGAAAGACTTGAGCGAATCGATGAACTCGTCGATCCAGTCAGTAACCGGCGAATCTCCACCACCAGTCATAGAAACGGCCTCGGGGGAGGGTGCTGCGAGGGCTTCTTCCATTGCTTTTGAGGTAAACAAAGCCGAGTTTGCGGGGTCCATGTTATCGCGCAATAGACGGGCAGCTGTGGGAACCACACAGAGGAAGGAAACGATCGTCCAAGTGGCGATTTTCATTTGAGAAACAGAGAGGAAAGGAGAAAGGAACGCTGAAGCGGCTTTGCTGTAAGAGTAACTGTGACAAAGAGAGGGAAATTCGTGAGTAATTGTCAGTGAGATGCCTGGAGGTCAGTCTAGGAATACCGAATGCAACTTGTATTATGCAAGCAAAACCCAATCATTTTAGTCGCCAGACTCGTCCATTCAGAAAGTATTCGAGGACTATGTTACCAGTGAGAGAGCCCGAAAATCTTCACAGCAGTATTCCCATTGGAAACTGTTGGAATATGCTACTCGATATAAGCCGTTACCCTCGTCAAAGGGATCGTTAATGTTCGACTATTAACTTGACGATCGCGAAGGTCACGCCAGGGTACTACCCTGAGGGTAGCAAAGAAGACAAGTAGCGAAACAGGCGTTTATGTAAACCATCTCCTCAGGAAGACGACGGACAATGGTCTACAAATCGTAAGCCATCGGGTATCATCTGATAGTTATTATCCACTGGGTTGTAAATTACAGCCCTCGAGCGACATCGCAGATAGCATTAACGCACGCGTGCACATTCTATCGCAGTCACGTGCACAGAGGAGAGTCTTAACACGTTGTTGGTGACAGCACAGCACCACAAGCGGAACACGTTGAAATGGTGTCATCTGACCTCTCGGACTGCGTCATTCGACTTGATCATGATAGGCCTGATACTAGAAAAGTAAGAGAATCGTCCTCAGTCCGGAAGTTTCCTTAGCTCATCGGGGATCTATTCGCATATGGCATGTCCCATCAGACACACTATTTCAAACCTCTCTAGTGAGGCTCACAAAATGACAACGTGGCAAAAAGGCTTCTAATGACGAATATTAGCGGTTCGCGGATCGCGGATGCATCCCCCAAAGGATATTTTCGTGAGGGAGAATGGAGGCGGTTCTCGCGAGCCATCCGGTTGTGTGCGCCCAGACTTATCAGACATAGAATTCCTCTTGTCAGAGCGTGAGTTCAAAGATATCACATAAAGCATCAAGCTCGTGATTTGCAGTATCACTCATAAGTGAAGACCTTGGAACCCAACTCATCGAGTTAACCTTCCTTTTGCCTGTGAAACTGATCTTGAGATACTCTAGCGCGCGCCATATTCACGCAGCAACACGTGAATTCGAACATTTCAAGACCAATCTCAGGTCACAGAATTTCACTTTCAACCATACTTGACAGGCCATCCATTAGCGTAGAGTTCTATGTGTACACGGATACTCAGCCAATCTCCACGGCTCGTTTGAATTTAGCTATTTCATTTGCCCTCGCACTCAAGGCGGCACCTTGTGCGTGCGCGCAGATTAGGACATGTGCTAGCGGAGTAAATGCATATGCACTAGATCGACAGACGACGACCTGACGCACGAAATGAGCCGGGCGAAGCGTCACAGATAGTGACGTCGCTGTGACAGTCACTATCTGTCACAGTGTGACCCCACGTTGACGAAGATTCCACACTGTTGGTAGGCTTGCTTTTCCCGCAGCATCCCTCGTCTGTAGGACGCGTTATTCCCCCCTCCCTTTGCCAGAGGGGGCGATAGGGATGACGGGTGCTTCTGTGAATATATGGGATTAGTCAGCGTATTGCGGTCATAATGAGCAGTTGCATTACATTTTGCAGTGTGTAACTGCACTGTTTTGTGTGCCAATTTAGCACTGCCAAAGGCCATGAACGCGAGCCGCAGTACTGAAAGAACCCACCCGAGTGGGTGTCGGCGTTATTAGCTTGGCGACACTATTACGATTACAATAATAGATTTTGATGAGTCGCTTTTCGTTTACCATTGACATGTAGTAGGTCTCTGCCGACTCGATGGTTTACCCTAAATGAACGCAGAGCTCTTTCAGCGTTCGCCTTCTTGGGTAGCAGCCTAGCTGCTGGCGGGCCGACAGGAGGAATTTTGACGTTTGCTTTCCAAACATGACAACAACGCGGAACAAATTCAGAAGCATGAAACGTTTATGAGGGAGCATTAACATCATGTTCGCCCCGCAGTAGACCCGATAAAGGTATCGTTTACTGACTTTACGTCAGTGACTTCATGCGAGGTCATGCTTGCGCCTACCCATAATATGGGTAGGCGCATAATATGACTACCCATAATATGAGA